CCCCCCTTTTCCCCAGGAATCCGTCCTAGATCCGCTTGTGTGAGGGGTGAGGGTGTATGCCAAGAATTATAATGGTCTTTACTGCACACAAAGTGGTCCGATGTGTCTGATGGCCAAAATGACAGGTGGGGCCCGATGACCGAATGACCACAATGACCGGAAGGGGCGGGATTGGGAGTTAATATCGAAATCCCAATAACAAAGAGGAGCCTATTAATTTCCTGCAACAATTGCCCCCAGTTGCACCAGCTGGACAGCAAACAGTAAAAGCGATTTCTAGGATAAAAGATCACAAAACATTGGAATTCTTAGTATAAAATTTTAAAACAATGGGGTGGGGGGAATTCAATGGGATGAGTTACGGTACAGAAGATTGAGAATGCAAAATACGTATTTTTATCTAAACACAGAATCCTGACAATTTGCTAATCTGTTGATTTTTATCAACTCGGCAAAAACCAGGGCTTAGGTGGACCTGTAGTCCACAGGATGCCAGGGGAGATAGTACACTTTTGGGCTGAATTTAAGAATACAGAAGCTAACCAGGACATGACAAAAACTAGCCAGAGAGATTTAAAATCTGACTTAAAAGGTGCATCAATTTTACGAAAGGATTCTGCAGGCTACTCACAGCGTAAAAAACTAAATAAGCATCCGAAAGCGCCAAGCTTTATAAGAAAGTGCCCAAAAGAGAACGCCCTACGTCTTTCATCTCCTTCCAGGCTGTTCTGAAAAGCGATCCTGTCAAAACTGGACTGTTATGACAATTAGCACAGCAGTGTGCCTAAATTCAGAACATTTGCAAGCGTAGTACAAAGCCCGCAGTTTTCCGTACATTCCATAAATGTAACAGATCGGAAAAGTATCGCAGATTTTTCCAGCTGTTTGCGAAATTTCGAAAGCTGTTCCCGAAAAAAGCAGTCCTAGTATTTCATTCTTACATCCACTGGGACAGTGCTGAAGCAAAACTTGAAATTTTGTATGATATCAACAAGGTCAGCTCCATTTGAATTAACTGAAAAAAAAATGGGTAATTGTTTGTTCGTTGCATCTTCGAAAAGAGATGAAGGATGTTGTATCCGATCTGAC